TATCCTTTATTATCCATATACTAGGGTACCACTGTGGTACACACTAACACTATGTATAACATACTATTAAGATACACAACATATCCCTCCAAACTGCCAATATCCCAAACCCCTCCTATAAAGTGCAGGCATTGTACTTCCCATTTCCAGTACTCAAGTCCGGCTATATAAAATTAACTGGTTTCCCTGAATCCCTTCCCTAAATATTACCCTGCTCACACTCCAACAGCTTGTCAGGTCCTAAATACCATTCGTCTCCATTCACTCCTATCTAAAACTCTCACGCATGCTTGCTGGAAGTCCAAGCCCCTCGCCCACAAAACCACCTTTACCCCCCTCCCTCCAACCTTTTTGAGGACGACCCCTACCTCGTCTTCCTTTTCCTACAGATTTATACGCTCTCCATGTCATTCTACTTTGATCCATTCTTTTTAAATGACCAAACCACCTCAACTGTCTCATAAATATGCAAGATTACAGGTACGTCTTGCTACTTCTACTTATACTTGGGGTCACACTGCACATACATGTACACGTTTATTTATTCATGCTCCTCTGAGTTTTCTTTGATTTTATCTTAATAGTTCTTGTTCTTATTACTTTGTTTTATATCCATGGGGAAGTGGAATAAGAATCTTTCCTTCGTAAGCCATGCGTGTTGTTAAAGTCAATTAAAATGCTGGGAACAATGGGCTAGTAACCCCTTTCCTTATACAGATTATAAAAAGAACAACAACTCGCCTAATTGCGGTTGCAGGGGTTGAGACTCAGCTCCTGGGCCCCGCCTCTTCAGTGTGATAACACACATGTAGATAGGCAGAATTATGGAGCAACTTGCAAAGTAAACACTGATGTTGAAGTAGCCAGGCTTAGGATTAAGTTTGAGTTACCCCTACCATGGTGCAAGGTGACCCATGTGTTAAAATTTTTCAGACAAAATGCTTTCTAATACTGTGCTTGATTGTCCACTTAAAGAGGAATGTAGAAATAGTTTAGAAATCTGTGTGATATGTTAAAGCATCTTATAAATGGTGGAAAATATAGTGCCTGCATTCTGAAGGAGGGGTGGGGATATTTGAAGTTTAGAGGGACTTCTGAAGTGTGGTATCTGCATGCCTTTGAAAAGACGATAATGGAGTGAGTGATGAAAGTCTCCTTCTTCAGGTCACCCTGCCTTAGTGGGAAATGGCTGTGTAAATAATAAAAATAATAATTAACAGATGTATGTATGTGTTAACCCACCCGAGGCCTACTTCCCTCCATTTATGTACATATTTAAGTTCTCTTAAATACGTACATAAATGGAGTAGGTTGGTAGACAGCAACCATCCAGGGAAGTACTACCGTCCTGCCAGATGACTGTGAAACAAACTTGTAACTGTTTTGCATGATGGTAGGATTGCTGGTTTCTTTTTCTGTCTCATAAACACGCTAGATAACAGGGATATCTTGCTACTCCTACTTACACTTTGGTTACACTTCACAGACATGCACATGCATATATATATATATATATACATCTAGGTTTTTCTCCTTTTTCTAAATAGCTCTTGTTCTGCTTTATTTCTTCTATTGTCCATGGGGAAGTGGAAAAGAATCTTTCCTCCATAAGCCATGCGTGTCGTATGAGGCGACTAAAATGCCGGGAGCAAAGGGCTAGTAACCCCTTCTCCTGTAGACATTTACTAAAAAAGAGAAGAAAAACTTTATAAAACTGGGATGCTTGAATGTGCGTGGATGTAGTGCGGATGACAAGAAACAGATGATTGCTGATGTTATGAATGAAAAGAAGTTGGATGTCCTGGCCCTAAGCGAAACAAAGCTGAAGGGGGTAGGGGAGTTTCGGTGGGGGAAATAAATGGGATTAAATCTGGAGTATCTGAGAGAGTTAGAGCAAAGGAAGGGGTAGCAGTAATGTTGAAGGATCAGTTATGGAAGGAGAAGAGAGAATATGAATGTGTTAATTCAAGAATTATGTGGATTAAAGTAAAGGTTGGATGCGAAACGTGGGTCATAATAAGCGTGTATGCACCTGGAGAAGAGAGGAATGCAGAGGAGAGAGAGAGATTTTGGGAGATAAGTGAATGTATAGGAGCCTTTGAACCAAGTGAGAGTAACTGTGGTAGGGGACCTGAATGCTAAAGTAGGAGAAACTTTTAGAGGGTGTGGTAGGTAAGTTTGGGGTGCCAGGTGTAAATGATAATGGGAGCCCTTTGATTGAACTTTGTATAGAAAGGGGTTTAGTTATAGGTAATACATATTTCAAGAAAAAGAGGATAAATAAGTATACAAGATATGATGTAGGGCGAAATGACAGTAGTTTGTTGGATTATGTATTGGTAGATAAAAGACTGTTGAGTAGACTTCAGGATGTACATGTTTATAGAGGGGCCACAGATATATCAGATCACTTTCTAGTTGTAGCTACACAGAGTAAAAGGTAGATGGGATACAAGGAGAATAGAAACATCAGGGAAGAGAGAGGTGAAGGTTTATAAACTAAAAGAGGAGGCAGTTAGGGTAAGATATAAACAGCTATTGGAGGATAGATGGGCTAATGAGTGCATAGGTAATGGGGTCGAAGAGGTATGGGGTAGGTTTAAAAATGTAGTGTTAGAGTGTTCAGCAGAAGTCTGTGGTTACAGGAAAGTGGCTGCGGGAGGGAAGAGGAGCGAATGGTGGAATGGTGATGTAAAGAGAGTAGTAAGGGAGAAAAAGTTAGCATATGAGAAGTTTTTACAAAGTAGAAGTGACGCAAGGAGGGAAGAGTATATGGAGAAAGAGAGGTTAAGAGAGTGGTGAAGCAATGTAAAAAGAGAGCAAATGAGAGAGTGGGTGAGATGTTATCAACAAATTTTGTTGAAAATAAGAAAAAGTTTTGGAGTGAGATTAACAAGTTAAGGAAGCCTAGAGAACAAATGGATTTGTCAGTTAAAAATAGGAGAGGAGAGTTATTAAATGGAGTTAGAGGTATTGGGAAGACGGAGGGAATATTTTGAGGAACTGTTAAATGTTGATGAAGATAGGGAAGCTGTGATTTCGTGTACAGGGCAAGGAGGAATAACATCTTGTAGGAGTAAGGAAAACCAGTTGTGAGTGTGGGGGAAGTTCGTGAGGCAGTAGGTAAAATGAAAGGGGGTAAGGCAGCCGGGAATGATGGGATAAAGATAAAAATGTTAAAAGCAGGTGGGGATATAGTTTTTGGAGTGGTTGGTGCAGTTATTTAATAAATGTATGGAAGAGGTTAAGGTACCTAAGGATTGGCAGAGACCATGCATAGTTCCTTTGTATAAAGGCAAAGGGGACAAAAGAGAGTGCAAAAATTATAGGGGGGGAGAAGTCTGTTGAGTATACCTGGTAAAGTGTATGGTAGAGTTATTATTGAAAGAATTAAGAGTAAGACGGAGAATAGGACAGCAGATGAACAAGGAGGCTTTAGGAAAGGTAGGGGGTGTGGACCAGGTGTTTACAGTGAAACATATAAGTGAACAGTATTTAGATAAAGCTAAAGAGGTCTTTGTGGCATTTATGGATTTGGAAAAGGCATATGACAGGGTGGATAGGGGGGCAATGTGGCAGATGTTGCAGGTGTATGGTGTAGGAGGTAGGTTACTGAAAGCAGTGAAGTTTTTTTTACGAGGATAGTGAGGCTCAAGTTGGAGTATGTAGGAAAGAGGGAGATTATTTCCCAGTAAAAGTAGGCCTTAGACAAGGATGCGTGATGTCACCGTGGTTGTTTAATATATTTATAGATGGGGTTGTAAGAGAAGTAAATGCGAGGGTCTTGGCAAGAGGCGTGGAGTTAAAGATAAAGAATCACACAAAGTGGGAGTTGTCACAGTTGCTCTTTGCTGATGACACTGTGCTCTTGGGAGATTCTGAAGAGAAGTTGCAGAGATTGGTGGATGAATTTGGTAGGGTGTGCAAAAGAAGAAAATTAAAAGTGAATACAGGAAAGAGTAAGGTTATGAGGATAACAAAAAGATTAGGCGATGAAAGATTGGATATCAGATTGGAGGGAGAGTATGGAGGAGGTGAATGTATTCAGATATTTGGGATTGGACGTGTCAGCGGATGGGTCTATGAAAGATGAGGTGAATCATAGAATTGATGAGGGAAAAAGGGTGAGTGGTGCACTTAGGAGTCTGTGGAGACAAAGAACTTTGTCCTTGGAGGCAAAGAGGGGAATGTATGAGAGTATAGTTTTACCAACGCTCTTATATGGGTGTGAAGCATGGGTGATGAATGCTGCAGCGAGGAGAAGGCTGGAGGCAGTGGAGATGTCATGTCTGAGGGCAATGTGTGGTGTGAATATAATGCAGAGAATTCGTAGTTTGGAAGTTAGGAGGAGGTGCGGGATTACCAAAACTGTTGTCCAGAGGGCTGAGGAAGGGTTGTTGAGGTGGTTCAGACATGTAGAGAGAATGGAGCGAAACAGCGACTTCAAGAGTGTATCTGTAGTGGAAGGAAGGCGGGGTAGGGGTCAGCCTAGGAAAGGTTGGAGGTAGGGGGTTAAGGAGGTTTTGTGTGCGAGGGGCTTGGACTTCCAGCAGGCATGCGTGAGCATGTTTGATAGGAGTGAATGGAGACAAATGGTTTATAATACTTGACGTGCTGCTGGAGTGTGAGCAAAGTAACATTTATGAAGAGGTTCAGGGAAACCGGCAGGCCGGACTAGAGTCCTGGAGATGGGAAGTACAGTGCCTGCACTCTGAAGGAGGGGTGTTAATGTTGCAGTTTAAAAACTGTAGAGTAAAGCACCCTTCTGGCAAGAGTGATAGAGTGAATGATGGCGAAAGTTTTTCTTTTTCGGGCCACCCTGCCTTGGTGGGAATCGGCCAGTGTGATAATAAAAATAAAAATTAAGTTCTCTTGTACTACTGTCCACAGGATGGATGTGGGGTGCATGATAAACTAGCCACTTCAATGGCAAAATCTAAATATCACCTAACCAAATCCTACGTTAATTTTTTTCAATGCATAGTCTGAAATCTACTCACATGTTACACCCAGCATCAGGGCTGGAAACTATTGCTAAGTACCGCTGCTTGTTACACTCTGGACGACCTCTAAGGCGGTGCTTCAGCATCTTCATCAGAGCTCTACGCCATTCTTTACTACTCGTCTACAAGAATGCAAGGGGCAGTGTACAATAAATGGGTTATATCAATATTTTCCAATATGGCTACAGAATATAATAAAAACACTAATTAATATATCCACATGAAGCACAAAAAACTTATGGCAAAGTACATAAATGAATAATGTAAAACCTAAAAGCCTTTCTGAATATACACTAAAAGAATAAATCTTTAAAAAAAAAGTTCTCCAGTTTTATCACCTCATGGCAATATTCTTGAATGGGGTGTGATAACTTGTGGCTGCGAGAGGTTCGGGCATGAAGAAAACAATCCTGACAGAGGTTATAACCAAAACATCGTAAACACTGGTATCTCAGACCAATGACTGGACGCTGCTTGCACACACCACACTTCACATCATGACAGACTGAAAAACAAATAACCAGGCTGACAGGGAAATGTTAACACAATGTAAAAGGGTAAATATAACTTACAAGGGCATATAAAATTTATCAGCTGCAGCTATTTACCTTTCCACCTTTATCACTAATGCCTTGCTCCTTTCATAAGCTTCCCTTTGACATGTCTAGGCTGCCATAAATATATGCCTCCTTGGTCTATTCCTCTCCTACAACCATGAAAACTTTCCCCAAGTACTACCTTTTTTTTTTTTTCTCAAGAGCTCTCAAATCTATAAGCTATAATTGCCTGCTTAAAATCACTGATTTCTATATGGCTCTCTTGCATCGGCTGTCAAAATTTGCCAAATGGTTTATATAAACCATTGCAAAGTTATAGCAGTTTGAAATTAAAGCAGCCACTAAATATACAAAAGTGCATTTTTTAAAGACAGACCAATTACTAACCTAGCTCAGCAGCTGTAAGTCTGTACAAGGTTGTCCACCACACCAAAGTCTGAGGTTCTTTCAGCAGCCAGGCCAGCAACACTTCCTCTGTTACTCCTACTTCACCTTCTACCTGACACAAACCATATTTGGTATTTAATAACATTAGTAAAAATACAATGAAGGTATACTTTTATATTTTGTTGACAATGACTCGACAAATACAAAAACACAATCTAATTTTCTGTCGCAGATCTTTAAGAACAAGATTCATCAGATTAATAGTCGAGACACAAAAGTAAAAAGTCTTCCTTGTATGGAAAATGTAAACTCATACTTTGGTATTCCTACCACTGATTATACTCATTCAATGCAGCAATGAAAGCCATCACTGAGGAAGCAAACAGAGCCAGGGCTGAACTAATGGTACTAGAGGATTTCAACTGCTGACGTACAGACGAAGAATTTCACCCTCTATCTGGGATAAATTGCTTTATCAAGTAATGGAGAACTTCCAAGGAAATGATGAGAACAAAAGGTAATAACACATTGATAAGGCCAAGCTCTATTTATTAATCCAGTAAGTCGAACACAAAGAAAACCAAATACGCACAGTGGAACCTCTGTTGTCGATCTTAATTCGTTCCAGATGTCAGTTCAACAACCAAAATGGTTTACAACCAAACCAATTTTTCCCATAAATAATAATGTAAATAGTTAATCCATTCCAGACCAAAAATGACTAATAATTTATTAATAATAATGTAGTTAGTACATCATAAAATTATACAGCACACGGGAACTGTAAAAATGACTACTGAATGAAAATTTAACAAATACTGCACAGGAAATGAAAATTTAACTGCCTCTTACCTGTCAGAGAGGAGAGCTAATGGCAAAATTCTAGCAGCTTCAAATCTTGTGAGAGAAAGCTGGTAGGCCTACATGTGAGAGAATGGATCTGCATGGTCAGCATGTGCGGTATAAAAATCCTGCAGCACGCAGTGTACGAGAAAAAAACTGCTACTGTTTTTGGTTTAAAACAGCGACTTTGCGGTATTTTCATACGGTATTTATGGTCGTCTTCTCACTTTCTTGGTCTCACTTGATAGAATGGAAGATATTTTACAGAAATAGAGATGATTTAAGGACTAAAATAGCTTGAAATTGAGCTCAAAGCAGCAGAAATTAGATTTTTGCCGATGTTCATGAGCAAACAAATCATGTCACACATCAACTGGGGGGGTCTAATATGCATTCACGAATGCACTAATTTTATTTATACAATTATGCAGTAGTTTAAATAACGGTAAATCTTCTATTTTTTGTGTGTGAATAATTCAAAATGAAAAGCAAGTGTAATATAAGAGGGACCTGGAGACGTGACTAATGAACAGATAAAATGTTATTTTCGTGCCAGGAATGTCTACACTGTTTATGCTGGACCCTATTTTGAAATTGGCCTTTCTTGAATTTTGTGTGAAATTAGCAATTTCAGATCACTTTATTGGGTAGCTGAAATGAGTAATGGACCTTTACCTTTGATGTACCTTTGAAGAATTTCGAGAGTATATCTACTCTCTGAGCATGGCCATGGGCCAGGCTCGTCTGGTGCTTGCCTGGTCAACCAGGCTGTTGCTGCTGGAGGCCCACTGCCCCACATATCCATCACAGCCTGGTTGATCTGGCACCTGGTGAAGATGCTTGTCTAGTTTCCTCTTGAAGGCTTCAACACTTGTTCCAGCAGTGTTTCTGATATCTTCTGGTAAGATGTTGAAAAGTCTGGGACCCTGGATGTTGATAAAGTGTTCCCTTATTGTCCCCACTGCACCCCTGTTCCTCACTGGGTTTATTTTACACCTCCTCCCATCTCTCTCACCCCAGTATGTTATGGGAGTGTGCAGATTTGCGACCAAGCCCTCGAGTCCATTCCAGGTATATATCATGTACCTCTCTCTCCTCCGCTCCAATGAGAACATGTTCAAAACTTGCAGGCGTTCCCAGTAGTTTAGGTGCTTTACTGGCTCAATGCGAGCTGTAAACGATCTATTTGTTCCAGCTCTGATATTTCTCCTGCCCTGGACGGGGCCATCAGCACTGAGCAATATTCTAAGTGAGGGAGCACTAGCGATTTGAAGAGTGTCACCATCGGCATTATTTCCCTTGTTTTGAAAGTTCTCAATACCCACCCAGTCATTTTCCTGGCTGTCGTGATCTTCGTCTTATGGTCTTTAAAAGAAAGGTCAGCTGACATAATTATTCCTAGGTCTTTTACGTGTTCCTTACGTTCTATTTGGAGACCCTCGTGAGTTTTGTATGTAGTGCTCATTTTGAGTTCTTCATTCTCTCCATATCTAAGCAGCTGGAACTTATCACCATTAAACGTCATGTTTTCCACTGCCCACTGGAAAACCCTGTTTATGTCTTCCTGTACTTTTTCAGTGTCCTCTACCGTACTGACTTGCATGCTTATTTTAGTGTCATGCAAATGATACAAAAGTGTGCCGGGTGTTTTTGTCTATGTCTGCTATGAGGATGAGGAACAGCAGAGGTGCCAGGACAGTGCCTTGGGGTACTGAGATTTGGACCTCACTGATGCTGGATCTTGCCCTGTTCACTACTACTTTTTGTGTTCCGTGTGTTAGGAAACACAAAATCCATCTGCCTACCTTCCCCGTAATACCCATGGCCTTCATTTTGTGTGCTATCACTCCATGATCGCATTTGTCAAACGCCTTAGAAAAATCTGTGTAAATCACATCTGCGTTTTGGTCTTCTTCCAGTGCCTCTGTAATTCTGTCATAATGGTTCAGCAGCTCCGACAGACATGATTGTCCTGCTCTAAAACCATGCTGGTTCGGATTATGTTGGTTGTGCTGCTCCATGAAATTTGTAACCTGCCGTCTCATCACTCTTTCGAAGATTTTTATGCGAGAGGTTAGGGCTAGTGGTCTAATTTTTAGCTAGTGCTCTACTACCTCCCTTATGCAAAGGAGCTATGTCTGCACTCTTTAAGGCCTCCGGTATTTCACCTAGATCTAAGCTCTTTCTCCAAAGAATACCGAGGGCTCGTGCAAGTGGCACTCTGCATTTCTTTACTCAATCGATAGAATAAAAAGAGTTCTAGCAAAATAGATATGAGTTTGGTCAGCTGGAACAATGGAATTGGCCCAAAATAGGACTCAAAGTGGGTGAAATTGCTGATGCGTAAATATAGCGACAGCGTAATTCCTCAAGTTTTTCTTCGAATTTTATGCTTTTGGTTTCATTACCTTCACAAGATGCACAAGAACTCAAGAGATGTTTATAGTTGCTAGACTGACCGAGACCCACACTGTGGAATGTTTGGTGATCACGTGATCCGAGCGTTGTCGGTCGACAACCAAGACCATGTACAAAAACAAAGTAACAATAACAAATCAGTTAGAACCAATTTGTTCGACAACTAGTCCGTTCGACAACCAAGTAACACATCTTCTACAGTGGACCCTCTTATCGGCCATAATCCGTTCCAGAAGGTTAGCGTAAAACCAAAAAGCGAAATAACATTTCCCATAAGAATTAATGTAAATACAATTAATCCGTGCCAGACACCCAAAATTATTAACAAAAATTTTTTATTTTTATAAAGATTAATTATAATTTTACATACAAAAAAATGATTACTAAATAAAATAAATACATGAACAATTAAATCACTATTACATACCTTTATTGGGGAGACTTGTTGGCTTATGGAAGACAGGGAGGAGAGAGGGAAGATTCATTGTTTGGAAGGGGAATCCCCCTCCATAAGGACTTGCAGCCTCGCCATGCCTTACCACACTGTATGCCACTATGCTTCTTAAATCTCTCAAACCAGCCTTTGCTGACCCTAAATTCACTAACAGCAGCACTTGTTCCAGGCATTTTCTTTACAAGATCTGCATGCAACTGCCTTACCTTCTCACAAATAATCGACTCCACAACACTATCTCCAGCCAATTGTTTTTTGGCGATCCACAACAATAACTTGTCCATATCTTCCATTATTGGTGACCTTTGTTTCATTAGCACATTTATTCCTTTCACAACATTAGCTTACTTGATTTCTACTTTCTTTGCCAGGATAGAAGTGATTGTTGATTTGCTTTTCCCATACATGCTGGCAAGTTCCAGCACCAGCACACCATTATTTTTCAGTAACTTTTTTCTTAAATTCCATCGTATTCCTCACTTTCTTTGCCAACGGAACTTTACTAGGAACTCTTTGGGGCCATGGTTACTTATTTCACAGATGAACTTAATCAATAACCACAAAAAACAATGGATTATAGGGAAATGTTTCGATGAATGAGTAAAGCTTCCTCACTCGCCCAGAGACACAGCCAGACTGATACGCGAGCGGCTGGCAGCGGTGGGTTGGCGCATCCCACATGGCTGATAAGCGAAATAACGGCCAATAACTGGAAGCCGAAAAAACGGCCAATAAGCGGAACGGCCAATAACCGAGGGTCCACTGAATTTCAGTTGAATCCCAGCACTGATGCTGATTTCCTTTGGTACAGGTTGTACTGCACTGCATTATTTCTTAGGTTTCCATTATTAATTTTTTTTTTTCAACAAACTGGCCATATCCCACCAAGGCAGGTGGCCCAAAAAGAAAAACCAAAGTTTCTCTTTTTACATTTAGTAATATATACAGGAGAAGGGGTTACTAGCCCCTTGCTCCTGGCATCATTATTATTTATATTATTATTAATTTCAAATACAAATTTTCATAATGTACAAAATGGTAATTGAAAAATTTTATGAGCATTTTGACAGCTGGGATCACTCATAACTCTGGGCATTGGAAAAAGTACCAAAAAAAAAAAAGTAGGTTGGTAGACAGCAACCACCCAGGGAGGTACTACCGTCCTGCCAAGTGAGTGTAAAACGAAAGCCTGTGATTGTTTTACATGATGGTAGGATTGCTGATGTCTTTTGTCTGTCTCATAAATATGCAAGATTACAGGCATGTCTTGCTACTTCTACTTACACTTAGGTCACACTACACATACATGTACACATTTATTTATACACACTCATCTGAGTTTTATAGGTAGTAGGTTGGTAGACAGCAACCGCCCAGGGAGGTACTACCGTCCTGCCAAGTGAGTGTAAAACGAAAGCCTGTAATTGTTTTACATGATGGTAGGATTGCTGGTGTCCTTTTTTCTGTCTCATGAACATGCAAGATTTCAGGTACGTCTTGCTACTTCTACTTACACTTAGGTCACACTACACATACATGTACAAGCACATATATACACACCCCTCTGGGTTTTCTTCTATTTTCTTTCTAGTTCTTATTCTTGTTTATTTCCTCTTATCTCCATGGGGAAGTGGAACAGAATTCTTCCTCCGTAAGCCATGCGTGTTGTAAGAGGCGACTAAAATGCCGGGAGCAAGGGGCTAGTAACCTCTTCTCCTGTATATATTACTAAATGTAAAAGGAGAAACTTTCGTTTTTCCTTTTGGGCCACCCCGCCTCGGTGGGATACGGCCGGTGTGTTGAAAGAAAGAAAGATCTGAGTTTTCTTTGATTTTATCTTAATAGTTCTTGGTCTTATTAATTTTCCTTTTATATCCATGGGGAAGTGGAATAAGACTCTTTCCTCCGTAAGCCATGCGTGTTGTAAAAGTCAACTAAAATGCCGGGAACAATGGGCTAGTAACCCCTTTTCCTGTAAAGATTACTAAAAAGAATAAGAAGAAGAAAATTGTCAAAGTGGGAAGTCTGAATGTGTGTGGATGTTGTGCAAATGATAAGACAGAGATGATTGTGGATGTTATGAATGAGAAGAAGCTGGATGTCCTGGCTTTAAGTGAAACAAAGCTGAAGGGGGTGGGAGAGTTTCAATGGAGAGGAATAAATGGGATTAGGTCAGGGGTTTCAAATAGAGTTAGAGCTAAAGAAGGAGTAGCAATAATGTTGAAGGATAAGCTATGGCAGGAAAAGAGGGACTATAAATGTATTAATTCAAGGATTATGTGGAGTAAAATAAAGATTGGATGTGAAAAGTGGGTTATAATAAGCGTGAATGCACCTGGAGAAGAGACAAGTGTAGAGGAGAGAGATTTTGGGAAATGTTGAGTGAATGCGTGGGGAGTTTTGAATCAAGTGCGAGAGTAATGGTGGTTGGGGATTTCAATGCTAAAGTGGGTAAAAATGTTATGGAGGGAGTAGTAGGTAAATTTGGGGTGCCAGGGGTAAATGTAAATGGGGAGCCTTTAATTGAGCTATGTGTAGAAAGAGATTTGGTAATAAGTAATACATATTTTATGAAAAAGAGGATAAATAAATACACAAGGTATAATGTAGCACGTAATGAAAGTAGTTTATTAGATTATGTATTGGTGGATAAAAGGTTGATGGGTAGGCTCCAGGATGTACATGTTTATAGAGGGGCAACTGATATATCGGATCATTGTTTAGTTGTAGCTACAGTTAGAGTAAGAGGTAGATGGGAAAAGAGGAAGGTGGCAACAACAAGTAACAGGGAGGTGAAAGTGTATAAACTAAAGGGGAGGAGGAAGTTCGGGTGAGATATAAGCAACTATTGGCAGAAAGGTGGGCTAGTGCAAAGATGAGTAGTGGGGGGGTTGAAGAGGGTTGGATGAGTTTTAAAAATGCAGTATTAGAATGTGGGGCAGAAGTTTGTGGTTATAGGAGGGTGGGGGCAGGAGGAAAGAGGAGTGATTGGTGGAATGATGAAGTAAAGGGTGTGATAAAGAGAAAAAGGTACCTTATGAGAGGTTTTTACAAAGCAGAAGTGTTATAAGAAGAGCAGAGTATACGGAGCGTAAAAGAAAGGTAAAGAGAGTGTTGAGAGAGTGCAAAAGGAGAGCAGATGATAGAGAGGGAGGCGCACTGTCAAGAAATTTTAATGAAAATAAGAAAAAATTTTGGAATGAGTTAAACAAGTTAAGAAAGCCTAGGGAAAGTATGGATTTGTCAGTTAAAAACAGAGTAGGGGAGTTAGTAGATGGGGAGATGGAGGTATTAGGTAGATGGCTAGAATATTTTGAGGAACTTTTAAATGTTAAGGAAGAAATAGAGACAGTAATTTCATGCACTGGTCAGGGAGGTATACCATCTTTTAGGAGTGAAGAAGAGCACAATGTAAGTGTGGGGGAGGTACGTGAGGCTTTACGTAGAATGAAAGGGGGTAAAGCAGCTGGAACTGATGGGATCATGACAGAAATGTTAAAAGCATGGGGGGATATAGTGTTGGAGTGGTTGGTACCTATCTTTAATAAATGTATGAAAGAGGGGAAGGTACCTAGGGATTGGCAGAGAGCATGTATAGTCCTTTTATATAAAGGGAAAGGGGTCAAAAGAGACTGTAAAAATTATAGAGGAATAAGTTTACTAAGTATACCAGGAAAAGTGTACGGTAGGGTTATAATTGAAAGAATTAGAGGTAAGACAGAATGTAGGATTGCGGATGAGCAAGGAGGTTTCAGAGTGGGTAGGGGATGTGTAGATCAAGTGTTTACATTGAAGCATATATGTGAACAGTATTTAGATAAAGGTAGGGAAGTTTTTATTGCATATATGAATTTAGAAAAGGCATATGATAGAGTGGATAGAGGAGCAATGTGGCAGATATTGCAAGTATATGGAATAGGTGGTAAGTTATTAAATGCTGTAAAGAGTTTTTATGAGGATAGCGAGGCTCAGGTTAGGGTGTGTAGAAGAGAGGGAGATTACTTCCCGGTAAAAGTAGGTCTTAGACAGGGATGTGTAATGTCACCATGGTTGTTTAATATATTTATAGATGGGGTTGTAAAGGAAGTAAATGCTAGGGTGTTCGGGAGAGGGGTGGGATTAAATTTTGGGGATATCAAATTCAAAATGGGAATTGACACAGTTACTTTTTGCTGATGATACTGTGCTTATGGGAGATTCTAAAGAAAAATTGCAAAGGTTAGTGGATGAGTTTGGGAATGTGTGTAAAGGTAGAAAGTTGAAAGTGAACATAGAAAAGAGTAAGGTGATGAGGGTGTCAAATGATTTAGATAAAGAAAAAATAGATATCAAATTGGGGAGGAGTATGGAAGAAGTGAATGTTTTCCGATACTTGGGAGTTGACGTGTCGGCGGATGGATTTATGAAGGATGAACTTAATCATAGAATTGATGAGAGAAAAAAGGCGAGCGGTGCGTTGAGGTATATGTGGAGTCAAAAAACGTTATCTATGGAGGCAAAGAAGGGAATGTATGAAAGTATAGTAGTACCAACACTCTTATATGGGTGTGAAGCTTGGGTGGTAAATGCAGCAGCGAGGAGACGGTTGGAGGCAGTGGAGATGTCCTGTTTAAGGGCAATGTGTGGTGTAAATATTATGCAGAAAATTCGGAGTGTGGAAATTAGGAAAAGGTGTGGAGTTAATAAAAGTATTAGTCAGAGGGCAGAAGAGGGTTTGTTGAGGTGGTTTGGTCATTTAGAGAGAATGGATCAAAGTAGAATGACATGGAAAGCATATAAATCTATAGGGGAAGGAAGGCGGGGTAGGGGTCGTCCTCGAAAGGGTTGGAGACGGGGTAAAGGTGGTTTTGTGGGCAAGGGGCTTGGACTTCCAGCAAGCGTGCGTGAGCGTGTTAGACAGGAGTGAATGGAGACGAATGGTACTTGGGACCTGACGATCTGTTGGAGTGTGAGCAGGGTAATATTTAGTGAAGAGATTCAGGGAATCCGGTTATTTTCATATAGTCGGACTTGAGTCCTGGAAATGGGAAGTACAATGCCTGCACTTTAAAGGAGGGGTTTGGGATATTGGCAGTTTGGAGGGATATGTTGTGTATCTTTATATGTGTATGCTTCTGAACTGTTGTATTCTGAGCACCTCTGCAAAAACAGTGATAATGTGTGAGTGTGGTGAAAGTGTTGAATGATGATGAAAGTATTTTGTTTTCGGGGATTTTTTCTTTTTTGGGTCACCCTGCCTCGGTGGGAGACGGCCGACTTGTTAAAAAAAAAAAAAAAAAAAAAAAACCTATACAAGAATACTCAAGGAAAGAGCTATGTAACAAAAATGAAAAGTACTAGCACGAAAACACAAATACCATCACATTAAAGTAAAATAACTTGCATCAGTTATAAAAATTAAATTATTAATGTCAAAATAACACACAATGTATAATTATTTTACAGTATTATATATCCAACATGCAAATATGTTCCTTACCCTAAAGTTAAGGCTTGCCTAAAGTACTATGTATACAAGAGGCTTCTTTGAGTATAAAGAAACATTTAAGTTGTATTAACTTTCAATATTTTTCAAGAGGAAACTGCTTTATACATCAGCATTAGAAGTTTAAAGAATACTGTACTGAAGCAAAATTAGCAAGTAGGGCAATAATGCTGCTGAAAATCACTATAGGTATTCTAATCAATTTATGTGGTACCATAAGAGAAGATGATTATTTACCTCTTGGAAACAACTTTCAACAGCAGCTGCCACCAAAGATAAGCCAAATGATGGCTGCTCAGAGAGTAACTCTGGAATACGAGCCAAATCACGAAGGACAGCTGCTAATCTTCGTCTATGAGAAAAGTAGTGTTATGGTTAATACTATATTATTAATTTTGAGCAACTTTACCAACTACAGCTTTCATTTATTACATAGAATACAAATTATATTTCATAATGACATTTTGCAAGGCATGAGAAGTTAATATTCAAAATATTTAAAGAAATGCAACTATTGCACTATAAAGCTGGCTATGAATGAAATTAACCAGCATCTCCAGAGAATAAAAATAATTCAGCATTGTCTCGTTAACCCTTTGAGGGTCGACAGGCCCTCTCCGAGACTCGTTCTCAGGGTCGGCCAAATTAAAAAAAAAAAAAAATATCTTATGAAAAGATAGAGAATCTTTTCCCAATCATAATGACACCAAAAGTATGAAATTTGATGGAAAACTTACGGAATTATGCTCTCACGAAGCTAGCAGTCTCAATGATGTTTACGCATCGGCGATTTTGCCCAATTTGAACCCCATTTTCAGCCAATTTCACTGTACTAGTCGACAAAAAACATGAATATTTTGCTAGAACTCCATTTTTTCTATCGAATGAGTGCAAGAAACCACCCATTTACCAATTTCAACTATCCAGTACAGCGGTCAGAATTTAGCAATTTTGCCAATTTCACACAAATTTCGAAAGATGCCAATTTCCGAATAGGGTCCAGAATAAACAAGAAAGACAGTCCTGGCACTAAAATGACATTTCCTCTGTTCATTAGTCACGTCTCAAGGCCCCTCTTACATTCTTTTGCTTTCCACTTTGAATTTTTCTCACAAAAAATAGAAGATTTACTGTTATGCAGACTACTGCATTAGTGTAAAAAATGGCATAAATGATATTGGTGCACTTGCAAAAGAATATTAGACTCACCAGTTGACGTGTATTGGATGCTTGGCATGATTTGTTTACTTTTGAACTTTGGTAGAAATCAAACATTTCTGCTACTTTGAGCTCAATTTCAAGGTACTTTTCATTGTAAAACCAGTCAAAATCATCTCAATTTCTGTAATATGTCTTCCATTCTTTAAAATGAGACCAAGAAAACTAGAATACAACAATAAATACCATACGAAAATACAGTGCAAAGTCGCTGTTTTATTCCAAAAAAACGGTCAGTTTTTTTTTCTCATTATGCACTGTGCTCCAGGATTTTTTTTATACTGTGCACACTGACCACATAGACCCATTCTTTCATATGTAGGCCTACCAGCTTTCTCCCACTAGATTTGAGGGCGCTAGAATTTAGGCGTACTAGTACGTCAAAAACCCTGGGTCGTAAGCCGTACTAGTACGGGCAAAACCCTCAAAGGGTTAAAAGACATTTTATGTGTTTTTTTTTTTAATGAGGGGGAGGGGGTAGGACTTGCCACCTTCTGATGTCCCCTATCCTCTATGTAGGCTAAGAAAAATATAAAAATTAAATACACTGCAATATATCACCAATTTAAGGGTACATGATAAGGTCACAATAGTGCATTATATACATGAACCTGTCATTCTGGCCCATTCACAAAGGTCAAACTAAATTAAGGCTGTTTACCTAAGCTTTGTACAAGGTTTTATCAGCATCATCCTCTTTCAGTAATATTTAATCCTTTCAAATCTATGAACTACAATAACTTGTAACAATTAAAAACTGGTCAAATATGCACAAAAGTGATTTAACCCTTTCAGGGTTTCCGACGTACTAGTACAGCTTACGCACCAGGGTTATTGACGTACTAGAACACTTAAATTCTAGCACCTTCAAATCTAGCGAGAGAAAGCTGGTAGGCCTACATACGAAAGAATGGGTCTATGTGGTCAGTGTGCACAGTATAAAAAAATACTGCAGCACACAGTGTGTAATGAGAAAAAAAACTGAGTGTTTTTTAATTAAAACAGCGACTTTGCACTGCATTTTCGTATGATATTTATGGTTGTATTCTAGTTTTCCTGGTCTCATTTCATAGAATGGAAGACATAGAAATTGAGATGATTTTGATTGGTTTCACAATGAAAAGTACCTTGAAATTGAGCTCAAAGTAGCAGCAATGTTCAATTTTTACCAAAGTTCAAAAGTAAACAAATCATGCCAAGTGTCCAATACACGTCAACTGGTGAGTCTAATATTCTTTCACAAGTGCGCTGATATTATTTATACCACTTCTACACTGATGCAGTAGTCTGCATAACGGTAAATCTTCTATTTTTTGTGAGAATAAAAAATTCAAATTGGAAAGCAAAAGAAATATAAGAGGGGCCTGGGGACATGGCTAACGAACAGAGAACTTGTTATTTTAGTGCCAGGAATGTCTGTCTTGTTTATTCTGGACCCTCTTTGGAAATTGGCATCTTTTGAAATTTGTGTGAAATTGGCAAAATTGCCAATTTCTAACCACTTTATTGGTTAGCTGAAATTGGTAAAGGGTGGTTTCTTGTACTCATTAGATAGAAAAAATGGAGTTCTAGCAAAGTAAATGATTTTTGTAGACTAGTACATTGGAATTGGCCGAAAATAGGGCTCAAAGTGGGCGAAATCACTGATGCATAAACATCGTTGAGACTGCTAACTTCGCGAGAGCATAATTCCATAAGTTTCCATCAAATTTCATACTTTTGGTGTAATTACGATCAGGAAATGATTATCATTTCACGAGAAAAAAAAAAAAATTTTCCCGAAAAATTTTCAACCTCGGGACGAGTTTAGGAGAGGGCCTCTCGACCCTGAAAGGGTTAATATTTTTATAAGATACATCTACAAAATAATACAGAAAATTCTTTATATATATCAAAAGTCTATGTAACTGATGATAATTTCAGTGTACCTATTAGCATAAAATATCTGAAATGTGCTGTTCTTCATATATCTTCACAGTACATACCTCCAGGTATGTGCAAAATATTAGAAAATCTTATGTAATAATCACACCTGGTGCAACAGTTGTTGTGATCTGCTATCTGAGTGAAGAGGTAACGGTACTTTTCTTGTAGTCGCCCTCCACACAAAACCACCAGCAGCACCTTACAACCAAGTACTCTAACCATACCACTGCGACCCCTAATGAATAATGAAGATTTAGGTTTGGTGCTCCCAACTCTATGGAGGCAATTTATTTTTTAACACACTGGCCATCTCCCACAGAGGTAGGGTGACCCAATAAAGAAGAAAACACTGACTCATTCAATTACTGACTTCCCAGAAGGGCACTGACATTACAGTTCAGATGACCCTCCAAATTGTAACATTCCTGCCTCTTCTTCAGACTATAGGCACTGGACTTATCTTCAGCACTTAAGCCCTGCTAACTGGTTTACCCCCCTGAATCCCTTCATAAATGTTACCGTGCTCACACTTCAGCACATCAAATCACAAAGACCACATACAATGTGTGGTGTATATATTATGCAGAGAATTTGTAGTTTGGAAATTAGGAGGAGGTGCAGAGTTACTGGAAATATTATCCAGTGCGCTGACGTGGGGGTTGAGGTGGTTTGGACATTTATGAGTGGATGAAGCAAAATAGGATGACTTGGAAAGTGTATAAAACAGTAGTGGAGGGAAGGCAGGGTAGGGTTTACACTAGGAAAGGATGGAGGGGATAAAGGAGGTTTTGTGTGCAAGAGGCTTAGACACTCAGCAGGCACGTGTGAGCGTGTTAGATAGGAGTGTAGGCAAATGGATTTTGGGACCTGATGAGCTGGAGTGTGAGCAAGGCAACACTTTCTGAAGGGATTCATGGGAAATGGTTAGCCAGACTTTAGGTGGGGAGTACAGTGCTTGCACTCTAAAGAGGTGGGGATATTTGAAGTTCGGACGGGCATCTGAACTGAAGTATCTATGCACCTATGGCACATATTACAGCGAATGATGGCCATAGCATTTTTTTTTACGGGGGGGGGGGGGGGGGTACCTTGGTGGGAGATAGCCTGTGTTTAAAAAAATCTTTCCATAAGCCACAATACTATATGTTACTTCTTTGTACATAACTGACTACTGTTAAAAAAAAAAAAATCCCATAAATACTATATGCATATTTCATACAAGGGCTAAGGTGTCACAATTAGTAAAAGAATCTCACTGTGTACATTAATGATTAGTTGACAACATAGCAATTCTTAGTGCTGTGCTCACTGCACGCAGAAATTATAAAGAATGCATCATCTCCAGCTTATACCTTTAATACCTTTCATGAGTTCCAAGTCTTTACTCCTAGAGCCCAGCCATGGGCCAGGCAGGAATGCATTAAACATTTATTACAGTATCTCACAGAAGACATTACACAACGGTACAGAATAGTAAGTCTTTACATATTACATACAAACTATATACAGTGGACCCCCCGCCTTACGATCAGCTCCCAACTTGAACAATTACGCATTTTTGTGTGCGCTTTTGTGCGTGTATTTTTGGGGGTCTGAAATGGACTAATCTAATTTACGATATTCCTTATGGGAACAAATTCGTTTGGTAACAGCACCCGAACAGACTTCTGGAATGAATTAATATCGTAAGGCGGGGATCCACTGTACTTACTTTCAATATCTGTATCCCTCTCAAATGTTAATCATTCCATTTTATCCACCTTAGGTTAATAATCAAAACTAATTCTTCCCTACCAAACTTATTAAAGCCATATAGCATGAGCTAACAATATTCAATGCCTAATGACCATATGTACAAAATTACTGCACTGTTATTGTCTTATTAATCTTAAGCTTGCCCAAAATGCTCTGCATGTAGAGGGGTTTTTGGCATGTACACCTAATTGTTATACTCCTTTGTACAAACATGTATCATGCTGAAACAATTTTTTTTTTAACATGTCGGCCCTCTCCCACTAAGACAGGGTGACCCAAAATAAAAACCCAAAAATAAAATAAAACTATCAGTCAACACTTTTGCCATCACTCATACACAATCACTGTCTTTGCAGAGGCACCCAAATACAAAAGTTTAGATAGTCACTCCAAACTGCCAGTATCTCAAAATTATTATTATTAGTGCCCAATCAGCAGTAACAGCCCAGTTGATCAGGTCCTGATGCACCAGGAGGCCTGGTCAAGCACTGGGTTATGGGGGGCATCGACTCAATGAATGACCTCTAGGTAGACTATACGTAGTTACTAACAAGACAACAAAAAAAAGATTAAAATACTTACAAGTCATATATATTGAGTAAAAGGTTAACAGTGAGCGGAGTGGCAAGGGCTATGTGCATTGGCCGGTTTTTATAGGTTGAACGAAGACATTTGTGAATGACCTGCTCCAGTTGCTTTAACTCTACTAGATCATTGTTCTCTGCAACATGCAGATTAAAGCTGTCAAAAGATGAAGCTACACACTGCAGAGATACTTCATGAACTGTGAAGGAAACATGATGAAATTAGCTACAAGCAGTTTTACTTAAATCCAGGAAATGCTAATGCAAATATTTAATCTCTTACACACTATATCAAAACATTATCTTCAAATTTTCCATTGGCAGCATAAGACAATAATCAATATGTTAAGCAGCACTTCATTTTTCTTTCTCAATTAACATAGTTCATATCTATGGATCTCACAACTCCACTATTTACTTCTCACAGGCATTACACATCTCCATCTAACATAACATAAATGAGAGCAATAATTTATTGCCAGAAAAATGAGGTAGCATTCCCTTTTTTCCAGACATTTTTATCCTGATAAAGACTTCTCTTTATGAGATGAAATATGCAAGACATCATAAAAAATATTTAGGGCTGGAAAAATATTTAGCAAAATTTTTAAATACAAAAAAATGAATAGTTTTAAACAAATAGAAATGCTAAAAAATATGCTATTTTTGTTTAATTTTTCCCTAAGCATAATGAAAAATACTAGAAAACTAAAGCAGAGGAAAGTAGAAATTAAAAGCCAACTAGATGAAGCATAACTTACATTTGAGCCGTGTCTGAAGGTGACGCAACTTGCACGCAGTACGATAAGCTGCATATTTTACAGAGTTCAATGACTGGACTTCCTCTAAAACTTTTACATACTCGGGGTGATCCCACTGCGTAACTCCACGGGTGTGACTGAAAATAGTATAGTTCTTCACATAACTATGCAAGATACACTATATAGCAATACAATCCCCATTTAAGTATAGTGGCTTCAACCCAACATTCAAATGCAAAAAATCCTGAACTCCACTTGATAAATATTTTTTAGAAATAATAATCTATATAGTAAAAGATCCAATGCCCCCAACAAATTTCAAGAAGTCATCTGTAATGCCAAAACTAGACAAAGTTTATTGGCCCATACCAAGTTATTGAAGATACAAGTGGCAATAAGTACAAAATCAGAGAACTCATTAGCAGTTAGTATACAATCCCATTTCAATCACATGAAGTTAGTGTGACAACGTTGGGAATTCTGGCATTCAGATGAGCGTGGCAGACTGACAATCCTTCTGACCCAGTACCTTCTATCTCTAACAACGTGACCGACGTACGTGTATGTCCCAACTGTAGTTACAGAATTCCTTATGCACACAAGTGACGAGTACACCAAGTTTCATCCATTACCACAAACGTTAGTCCTCAGTCACAGCATGTGTCAGCAGTCTGGGATAGCACCCAGGGTCAGGTCAGCAGTCTGCTAGGGCAAGATTTACGCAAGGAGTTGTCATCTGCTCTTGGGGTATGGGGGGGAGGGGGTTGAGGAGGATTAACATTAGTGCTAATGGGTGAAACTTGAGGTGTGCTCATCACTTGTGTGCATAGGGAATAACACAGCCAGGGCATGCATGTACAGCAGGGCCCCGCTTTACGGAGTTTCACTTTACGGCGTTCCGCTAATACGGTCATTTCAAATTATGACCAAAACTCGCTATACGGCTCCCCCCACCTGACTTTCTAATACGGTCACCGCGCCCCACCCTGTTTGTTTACATTCTTCGTGAGCTCAGTAAGCACTAAGTCTCTCCATTGTCTGGAAACTCCAAAATTTCATATGTTTTTAAAAGTTATTTCATATTTTATATATACTCTGATAATTATACTTATGTATACCTGTACTTAAGTAAACTTACATACTGTGCTGGCATGCAGGTACACATTAAAATCAGTAAGAGTGTCTTATGTCTCCAGACGTCATATTAGTAATGATAATAATCATCGAGTCTCATTTAAATGTCGTATATTACGTTAAATACACATTTTCATTAATCCATCTATGATATTTTTTCAAAATTATATAATAAACACGATACATAACATAAAAAGATGATAAATACACCCCACAATAGAATAAATAAACATAAATATGAGATGTGGTAGCAGACGACTTGCACAAGTGACGCCATATTAGAGATGCTAATAATAATAATAATCACCGAGTCTCATTAAATGTTGTATATTACGTTAATATACACATTTTCATTAATCCATCCATGATATTTTTTTCAAAATTATATAATAAACACGAACATAACATAAAAAGATGATAAATACACCCTACAATAGAATAAATAAACATAAATATGAGATGTGGTAGCCAGATAACTTGTACAAGTGATGCCAAGAATAACATTTTCTCTAATCTAACATAAGAGAAAATGTGTTACTGGGGGTAACTGTAGAAAATTATTCCTTTCGTATGTATGTAAGTAAGTTTATTCAGGTATACACAAATACAGTTACATAGATTATCATACATAACATATGTGTAGAGAATCTAGGATAACCCAAAAAAGTCAGAGTGACTTATTTCCATTGCCTTCACTCAGAGCATCATTTCTTCTCAAAATGATGTTACATGAGAATGGGAGTGTTCTTCTTTATTTATTCTACCGTATCAATGTAGAGACAACCTGTACACAATGTAACTTGTACACAAACCAGACGTGTACACTTCGTTTACAAAACTTACCTTCGCCTGGTTTGTTTACTAACTCTGCGCCTGTCCTCTCTCATGCACTCATTCTTTCTCTCTCTCATTTATTCGTTTTATCTCATTTACTTACTCCTGACCCTACATTAAGACTACAAATATTTTAAGGTAAGTAATGAGTGAACTGTATATACATTTTATCGCTCTGGGATGCTTAAATATCATAGAATTGTATGTGTGGGTGGGGTGGCCTGGTATGGTAGCCTGGCTGACTACCATACATACCACACTTGATTTCTTACAATAAATACTACTTGTCTCACCCTAGATTAAGACTATAAATATTTTAAGGTAAGTAATGAGTGCACTATGTGTATTGTACTTCTTTATTGTTTTTTAATGCCTGGTTCTATTGCTAACTTAATATATGTTAGTGTAAACTTGTTATCTAGTGTTTGTATGCATTTGTAAGTGGAAAAAAAGGGTGTTCCACTTTACGGTGGTTTCCGCTTTACGGCGGTAGCCTGGAACCTAACCAGCCGTATAATTGGGGCCCTCCTGTATATCAGTCAGGCTGTTAGAGGTAGAAGGTACTGGGTCAGGAGGACTGTCAGTCTGGCTCGCTCATCCGACTGCCAGAAATCTCATGTTTATAATGCACTAACTTCACATGTTTTAAGTAGGACTCCTTATACTGACTTCTCTAACTTTGTACTTGTTACCACTTATATAGTTCAATAACTCAACAAGGACCAATAAACTTTTGGTCTAAATTTGGTATATTGACTTCACAAAATTTGTTAGCATTACTAGTGTCCTCATGAAGAGGGAGTTCCCAAAACCCTTGTAACAAGTCTACAATCAAAAAGATTATCTTCAATATTGCACAGCAAGTCACCAAGAACATGAAGTGGGAAACTATCTGATATTGTTTATTAGCATTCAACTTCCTAAAGTCAATCACCGGGCATCAAGTACAGTGGACCCCAGAGTTTCGTGATAAATCCGTTCCAGAGAGCCTGCCGAAAGTCGAAATTCACGAAACTAAACTATTTTCCCCATAAAAAATGGAAATAAAATTAATCTGCTCCAGACACCCAAAAATATTAAAATAAATATTTTTTTTCAAATTAAATAAAGATTTATATACTGAAATCAATGAGAAATCAAGTACATGCATATAAAAAATAATATTACACTTACCTTTACTGAAGACTTCTGGGTGGATGGAAGATGGGAGGAGGGGATAGGAGGAAGGTGTACACTATTGTTTGGAAGGAGAATCTACTTCCATTAGGACTTTAGGTAGCAAGTCCTTACCTGGGGTTACTTCCCTTCTTTTAATGCCACTGGGAACAACTTGAGAGTCACTGGACCCCTGTCACACAAAATCTGTCCAGAGAGGTCTTTTTCTGGCATTTCTTTAAGATTTCCCTGAAGTGGGACAACACTGTCATTGTATATGTTGCAGATATGGCTCGTTTCAGCTTGGTCAGGGCGATACTTTTCAACAAAACTTTGCAACTCATTCCACACATGTCCTTAATCACTGAAGAAGGAACCTCCTTCACTCTTTTCCTCCTCCTCCTCTGAAGCAAGTTCCTAGGCTGTGGTCTGATGCTGTTCCAGTTGAAGCTCTTGCAGTTCATCAGTGGTTAGCTCTTCCCTGTGGTCCTCCACCAACTTTTCCACATCCCCGTCATTCGCCTCCAACCCCATGGACTTGCCCAATGCCACAACACCTTCCACAACAGGCAGAGGGTCGGCAAGGACAGGGTCTGCCTCAAACCCTTCAAAATCCCTCTGGATCGTGTTCCTCACTTTATTTACCAAAGGGCTCGCACTAGCTTTCCTTGGGTCCATGATGACTTATTTAGCAGTTGCAAGCACAAAAAACAATGGATTATTATGAAATGTATTGTATGAACCTGCGGGGTGATGGTCACGTGTTGGTAAACAATGGCACGCTGAGTGTGAATGGCGTGCGAGACCGGCTTGGTGTGCGCGGTGACGGGTGGACAGGTACCGGACGGTCACGAAAACACGAGTCTAATCACAAAACTCTACGCCAAATTTTGCCAAAAAAACTCGCCGAAGGTCGAATTTCACTTAAGTCGATGCTGCCGAAACTCGAGGGTCCACTGTACTCTTTCTTGGGTACTAGAATCAAGGGGCATTTCAAGTTGAACTTGTCATCAAGCATTTGGTTGACTAATTCTTCTATGATGGCAACTTGCAAATGAGGCTTTCTGAATGCAGGTACATAAATAAGAGAATCTGTTAAACCCATCTTACCTTGTAGTAGTGCAACAGCTCTGTTTGTTCAACACGTGCAACAAATTTTTAACTTAATCTAGGAAGTCAGTAGAGCTAGATTTTTTTTCCTCCATTGGTGGGACAGATGGACTCTCCCTGGGTGAAACAGCACCAACCCACTAGTCTAGTGATAACTCGTCCAACACCCGAACAGTATACAGATAGTGAACAACATCAACAAGCGTTGTGTTCACCCTGAGGCAGACACCGACCAAACATATTAGCAAGGAAGAGATGAACCTTCCATAATTCTCCATGAGGAAGTGGAGAAGAATCCTTCCTCTGTAAGCCATGCATGTCATAAGAGGTGACTAAAATGCCAGGAGCTAGTAACCCCTTTGTCAGTATTGTTACTGTGTATTATACTTAGACAATCCCAGCTATTTTATAGATATGCTCCCTTGCTAGCCGTGACGTCACGAGACCCCTCACATGTGAGCCATAGGCCACAGCATTCATCCTCACTTCCACACTAGGCAGACTCGACAGGCAGGCCTGGACTTCTCCTTTACTCTTAATTACATGCCTCTAAGACATCCAACGTGTGCATTTCTTACTCCAATATCGCCTGACAACCCCCCACAACACCTTCTCCTGTATAAATTACTAAATGTAAAAGAAAAACTTTTGTTTCTCCATTTCCAGGTAACCCTGCCTCTGTGGGGGGGAGGGCTGGTGTTAAAAAAAAAAAAAAACTGATCTTACTATCTTGTACAATCTGCAAGGGAAGATCGACAAACCCTTTATCCTACAAGAATCAGAACACTGTCACCATCTGGAACACAAGCAACAACTGACATTAGCGAGATCACTAGCCGCAACAGAGACGTCTTTCTGCAGACAGCCAGTGACCTCAACAAGAGACAGCATTACTCGTTTCAAG